CATGGATAACGACGCGCTGATGTGGTAAGTTAAAATCGTATGTTGAAAATGCAATTTCAAGTTGACATGACTTCTTTTGCGATAACATGTCAAGTTGAAATTGCATTTTGAACATGCAATTTCAACATAAACTCGCATTTTGAAAATGTGATTTTAAACCCATTCTGAAAATGAGATTTGAAATTGAAATTCAGTAATTCATTGGCATATTGAAATGCATTTTGTTTCAACATTTTTTAACATACATAACCAAACTATTCATATTATTTTAGTACATATAAATTTTTAGTCATGTCAAATCATCAGTCCTTGTATGTCTTTTTTTTTTTTCTCCCTTCCTATATATTAAAGTGAATTTTGAAAAAAGATAAGGACTCCCTTAACGTAATAAAGTAAAAGCTATAATTTTAACATAATTACATTCAATTGCCTTATTTTAATTTGTATAATACTTAATTTTCATCAATAATTTTTTTAGTTATATAGATGAAAAAAATAATATTATCATCAATTTTAAACAAACTTATATATTTTACGTTATTTATTTTGTGCTTACATGATATCTGCATTAATTTTGGTCTATTAGTTTCATCCTTTGTTTCAACCTTTTTTTTTCAAATTAAAAAAAAAAAAATTAGTTGCTACAGTTATATATATATACTAGGTAGGTAGGTAGGCCCTTGCCAGGCGTGGATGAAGGTAGGCCTTTGCAAGGAATGAGCGAGTCGTCCATTTTTCAAAGAATAATAATTTTATTTTAATTCAAGGTTAAAGAAGAATGCATATTTAGTGTAATATAACATTATTCATATATATATATACACGCGGAGGGTGCCACTATCTACTTCAATAGTTCATGATATTTAAACAACAAAACACACGGAATAAGCCAAAAATACACATACGATGCAAATAAATTAAAAAAAGTTCCACAAGAGTTGGAAAACAAAAGGCTTGCTTGTAGTTTATCAGCATTTCAATTGTTGTACCTTTGCGAATATTATTTGATTTTTTTTGTATAATTCATTCAAATATGTTGAGAACAAAAATCCATAAATTAGAAAATTTCAGAATTTGGTTTCTTTTAAGAATTTGCAAATCCAAATTGAGACTTGCTTCCAAGAAATCACTAACACTCAAAGACTTACGAGACATCAGTGGAATTTTGCACACTTCCATAGTTCATATGGGGGGAAAATAGTAGGAAATCCAGAAAAATAATGATGTTGAATCGTAAGCAAGATTGGAACAAGCAAATGGAAAAGATAAAATAAAGGAAAATAAACAATATCAATTTCTCTGATCTCAATATTAATCACAATATCAATAAGCTTGGAATTTAAAGGCCAACCGACAAGGTCCCCAATATGATAATAATTCACAAAATAAACGACATTACATAATTAATTCCTAAATCCAAACCTATATAAAATAAATTAAAGATAAATCAAGGTTGAGTCTTCTAGCCTCGTCTAACTAACATAGGTATGACGAAAGGCATGTCTCACATGATCCTCAAAATACAAGTTTTAATATTAGAGAAACAAGGTTTCCAAAAGGGTTATTCCTTTCTCATATCAGCTTATATAACACTTCTTTTATTTTTTATTTTAGAGTACATGCCATATAGCTTAAAAACAGTATCCGGCTTCCTAGCAGAAATCTTTGATACAACTTCTCATTTTTTTGAGCTTTTTCAAGCTCCAACTCCATATGATTTACTCGTTCCACAAGTCTTGGTATGGTAGATTACGCGAGCAGTGGCACAATGGTGAGTCAATCCACTCAAAGTACTCACAAATAGCTTGAATCTAAAATTTAATAAATAAATTCATACTTGTAATTAAATATTATAGAACATAAAATATAAATACATTAATTACTTAATTAATAAATAATGGAAGTGATTATCCCATAGTTTGCACATCCTATAAATTTGCTTCCCATGTTTGCATTTGTCCAAACTATTTTCACTAGGGATCTTTGGTCATAGTAGCATGTACGAGCTAAGCTTTGTCTACTATAGTGGTAGCCTTGAGAGGTTGACATCCTCAAAAATGGAAGTGATTTAAAATTTTTGGGTAAGGAATTGTGGGTTTGGTGGTGTAATATTATCAATCTTAAGTGACTATGTTGTATGTCATATCATATTTCTTAATATAAAAATGTGTTATAATATATTTTTATGAGTAAAATGAAGTAAATAATAAATCTTACAATTCACATAATTGTAGTTTTATGTAAATAATTGATTAAGAGAGTTGTCACATTTCCAAATTTAATATAAAAATGTGTTATAACATTTATGTTTTTATGAGTAAAATGAAATAAATGATAAACATTACAATTGACATAATTGTAGTTTTATGTAGATAGGTGATTCAAAGAGTTGTCACATTTTCAAATTGACTTCATCTTTTGTAAGGCTAGTAATGCATGTGACATTAGTGACTACCTATTGACATATGTATTAACTTGTTGAATTAACCACCGATGCATTAGAGTTTGAATTTATACCATACCACTATATGGTTCTTCAATAAAAATCTTATGTTGTGCATTTATTATCTCTTAAGGTAAATTACACTGACCTCCTCTAAATTTAAAAACAAAACAAAACAAAATAAAATAATAAATACATCAAGCCTCACATTTTTCATATAATTACACTAATCTCCCTTTTAGTAAAGTTAAATGGACTGAAACTAATATAGATATTATGTAAGCACAAAATAAATAACATAAAATATACAATTTTGTTTAAAAATGATGACAATATTATCTTTTTATCCATATAATTAAAAAAATTATTGATAAAAATTAAATATTATACAAATTAAAATAAGGAAACTCAATATAATTATGTTAAATTATAGCGTTTACTATATTACGTTAATGGAGTCCTTATCTTTTCTCAAAATTCACTTTAATTTACAAGAAGGAAAAAACACACACACACACACACACACACACACACAAGGAGTGATGATTTGACATGAATAAAAATTTACTTGTACTAAAATAATATGAATAGTTTGGCTATGTGTGTTAAAAAATGTTGAAACGAAATTCGTTTCAATCTGCCAAGGAATTGCTAAATTTCAATTTCAAATGTCATTTTCAGAATGGGTTTTGTAATTGCGCAGCTTAAAATTACATTTTTAAAATGCGAGTTTATGTTGAAATCATATGTTTAAAATGCAATTTCAACTTGTCATGTCATCGCAATAGAAGCCATGTCAACTTAAAATCTCATTTTCAACATGCGAAATGAGATTTCAACTTGCCACATTAGCACGTCATTATTAATGCGATTTCAAAAATGGGTTAGTTTATCAAATAATTAGAAAAGTGTGTCAATTCTCTAATTTGTTTTTTTTTTAAAATATTTATATAAAAAAAAAGCTCGTGTTTTGAGGCCAGTGTATTTTATTCCCCTATGTGGTTCAAATATAGTCAGAAAGCTCCCATCTGATTTTGGACCAAAGTGTAATCATCAATTCCGTTAACTATACATGTGAAATGACAATAATACCTTCAAATCCTATGTCTTTTTTTGTTATTTTCTTTTTCTTTCCTCTCTTATACACTTAATTTCTAATATTAATTCAATTAAATCATAATCAATCATAAATTCTTAATTATTTATTGTAATTACTAATTTTATCTAATTTTAATGTAATTATATGTTAAATTACAATTAATATTCTAAATCCTAAATTATTTATTGTAATTTCTAACCCTTTTTTTATCTAGTTCTAATATAATTATATGTTAGATCAATTCTCAACTTTTAATTATTTTATATTTTTATTTTATTTTATTTTAGCTAATATCTTAATCTAATTTGAGGTTTGGAGAAGATGAGAGTAAAATTATCTTTCTATTGTGCTAATTTTTAATTTATTTTTTTAGAAAATCAAACTAACTCTGAATAATGGCATGTGTGATACAGTTTCTTTAGTTTGAATGGGAAATTAATGGTAGGACTTTAGTCCAAAATTAAATTGGGACTTTTTGACTATATTTGAATCATAGAGGGTAAAATACTCCCATCTCAAACTACGAGGAGATAAAATAAATTTTGCCCAAAACTTTTTTGCAGAAGAAAAAAGAAATCAATAAAAATGCATTACCTTCCTCACAAAAATATAATCGAAAATAATTAATAAATTGATAAATTAAAAAGAATAGTTACATGATAAATTGAGAAGTGGTTGATAGGGGTATAAAATCGACTTACCAGCCTGTGGCTCACTCGAAGTCCGCCTGTGGCCCGACCAGGCCCGAGCCCGAGTTCCTGAACTTGGGCCCTCTATTTTGAAGCCCAATCCAACCCATTTGGCATGGCCTACCTGAGGCCCCCCGAGGCCCAATGTCTTAAACAGGCTATTTTAGTGAAAAAATAATAAAAAATAAAAATAAAAGTTAGGCCTAGTTCACTGGCCCAAGGCACGACTCCCCAGCTCAGCCGAGGCCCAAGTACCTCTAAGCCTAGATTTTTCGCCTATGGGCTGGCCCGGTCGGACCCGAAATTTAGCGGGAGCCCACAAGGCCCGATTGTAGGCCAGCTAAAAATACCAGAACTGGTGACAAAAAAAATATTTTAGTCACCATATATTGAGTTTTGGCTACTAAAACCATTTAGACGCAGAATGTAAAATAAAACTTATTTTTTATCTTTGACGACCAAAAGTATAGTCGCCAAAAACATATTTTCCGCGACAAAAAAATATTTTAGTCGCCGTATATTGGGTTTTGGCTACCAAAACTGTTTAGTCACCGAATGTAAAATAAAAAATTATTTTTTATCTTTGGCAACCAAAAATTTGATCGCCAAAAACATATTTTCAGCGACACAAAAATATTTTAGTTGCCCAAAAATTAAAATATTTGAAGGGAGACATTTCAAATTTTAGAGTGATTTATAAAATTAATTGGTGACTAAAAATGTTTAGTCGCTAATGGTGTAATATATATATATATATATTTGGTTAACACTCACCCTTGTTCTCTGTTTATTCTTCTTCACCACACCAAACCTCACCCCACTTCACATGACCACAGATCACCGCCACCGCCGCAAATCGCCACCGCCACCGCTGCCATCGCCACTGCCACAGATCACAGGTTCTCTCTCTCTTTCTCTCTCTCTCTCTCTCTCAATTGAGCTGTGTCTCTATGTCTCTGTCTCCCTTCCTCTATTTCCCCCTTTCTGATTGTTGCTCTAGGGTTTTATATTCTTGATTCAGTTCAATTTTGTGTTGATTTCTTTAATGGGTTTGGTTGTTGTGGTTTGATTTCTGATTGTTGTGTTTCACAGTCGAGATATAACCGTGTGAAGCAAATCAACCTTGAATTTGCACAAGATATTGAAGACAAACATCTTGATATCCTTAGAAGCAAGGTAACATTTCTGGCTGTATTATGTAGTTGCACTGGTGCCTTTAATTGAAGAAATTGAAATGTGTTGACACTCTGATTGATAAAAGAAGAAGAATTTAATCGTCTTAGTTTTCATAATTATTAGATGCAACACACATTTCATTAGAGGTTCAGAATTACTAAGCCCCTACTTATCTATGCTTTACTGTAATTATTTTTGGGTTTTATTGAAGTTTCATGTTTCTTACTATTACATATGTTTAGAGCAAATTACCAAGTTTGGTACATGGTGATGGGTATTTTAATGGCCTAACAAGTGAAGCAACAGGGAACACTGAAAGTCTGAATTCATAAGATATAGGCCTCGCTCTCAATGTGTCAACTCTCATATGTAGAAGTATTATGATCTATTTCAAATATATATTAATTGTTAACATTAGTGATTATTTGCTAACATGAATTGTTGCTATGTTTAACTATGCTGCAACTTCTATGTGCTTATAATTTTGATTATGGATTTTTTTTTCTTCTTCTAAAATATTCCTCATGTATTATATCCAGTGAAATAAATTATTTTGTGGCTATTAATTTGTGTTTGTGCATTAATTCTTGTGTAGTTTACCTGCTATCATTGTATGAATTGCATTTGCATTAATAAGTATTTGTGTGCAGATTGGAGTATGATACCCTTGGTACTTTTGTTAAAGCTGTTGTTGTTTATCTTGGAACAACATTAGTGAAGGTTCGTTGATGCAATTTCACGTTGCCACTTGGCCTTTCATTTGATTCTTTTTTGTATCTCTGATTTACATCTAATTTTCTCTATTTCGATGGATATATTTCTCATCTCCAACTTCATAATTTTAATTTCTATTAAAACTTTTTTTCCCCTACGACAGTTTATTTGCCTGGCAACCTTTCTTAAGGTTTCTGAAAATGACAGCTTTGACATATCAGGTACTTTGTGGATTTTTTTTTTTTTTCGCTTTCTTTCTTTTTCTTTTTTTTTTTTGTTTTTTTGTTTTTTGTGATATTGGGTGTTTAGACTTTAGATTCTATATGGAGGATTGTGTCGCTGAAGTCCTTATGTTCATCATCATATATTATAATCTAATTTTATGAGCCAACCTGTGAGAGCATGAGGTGTCTAGATGTAATACCTTATGAACAATATGCAAAGCATATATCTGGGTATATATGTGTGTATAATATTCTTTTCAATTATGTTTTAATATTATTAGTTGGACAAAAATCCATTCGCACCTTATTACACAGAAATTACAATAAAAAGAAAAAGAAATCTACTACTTTTTGTTACTAGATCATTTTGCAGGTTTTATGATCTTTCTGACCATGTTCATGGACTTGAATATTAATGATATCTAAGACTTGTTACAAGTATTTATCCTCTGTTATCTTTTCTATTAACTTTGTCTTTGAAGATTGGGATTTCCGTTGTTCAGTCATTATTATGCAATTAATAAGAAAAAAACACTGATGTATAAAGGAGATTATTTGTTGCTTGTTCATTGATCCATCCAGTACTCAACTCTATCTCCCGTCTATGTGATAATTAAGGAATTTCTTCTCTCATGATCTGTATAAAAATGGCTACCAAAAAATCTCTGATAAGGAAATTGAAGCTATTACAACAATTTGTTCTAACCTAGGGGTGGGTGCGGGTCGGTTGCGGCCACGGAATCTCTAATCCGCCATCCGTCCGTCAGATTGGCGGATTGGAGAAAATCAATCCGCATCCGTCCGCCAATCCGACAGATGTGGATTGAGTGGATTGGCGGTTTGACGGTTTGGCGGATGGATGCGAATCGGTTTGGCGGTTTGAAATTTTATAAATTTTTAACATAGTTCAACTTGTGCACTTCCCCACAAAAAAAAAAAAAAAAAAAATATTACAGTCAATGACTTAAAAAAGTATTACAATTACTACATGTCTCATCCAAAGAGAGAAAGTTTGAAACTTTAGAATATCACAATCACTGTATTTCTCATCTACATATTACAATCACAGCATGCCTCATCCACATAAAGTATTACAATCTGTGATCCTTAAAATATAGAAACAATTCAAACCACTAAAACCATGAACAGAGCAATAATAGAGATTGTATGTGTCTATATTGTTACATTTATATATGTTTTTGAAAACAAAAATCAACCAGCATATATCATATTTTCTATTTATTACTTTTAGAGTTAGATTTAGGGCTAGTTTGGCATGTACTAAATAAGTCAAAAAGTCAAAAAGTCACTATCTTATTTCAGTCACATCATCTTATTTAAATCACATCACCTCTCTAACACATCACATCAAACCCAACCCAAACCCACCAATTAGTCAAAAAGTGCACTTTTTTAGGACATCCTAAACCAACCCTTAAAAACCAAAAAATATAGATAAATAATACGTTAATTTTTTTAATTCAAAAAATATATTCAAGTTGAAAACTTTTTTTCAACAGAATATTTGAACTCTTCTTCAATTGAAAACACAAACAAAATATTTAAACAAATTGAAAACACAAAGTCTTATAAATTACTAAGGGTGCTCGCGGTTTGGCAGTTCGGTTGCTGCCAAAGGAACCTCAAATCCGCCATCCGTCCGCCAAATTGACAGATTGGAGAAAATCAATCCGCAACCGTCCGCTCGTCATCATGCATCCGTCCAAAATACGGCGGATCGGTTCGGAAAACATGTTAAGTAAACTACAATCTGTCAATTTCTAATTAGGAAAAGGAAACATATAAATGTGTCAATTCCTTAAGGTTATACATTTGAATTTCTTCTCCATTTGTTGTGGTTCATTCATTGCATTTTCATTAGTTGGTATATTTGTTGCTATATAACTGATATTGTCTGTTATATCCTCCTAAATCATTATTTGCCTATTTTAGTTGAAATCTTTGATAAACATGCGGTAAAGCTAAAAGGAATCATTTATTGATTTTTCTTTATTTAGTCTTGTTATATCAATTGATATATTCATTGTGTTATTCATCTAAATTCAATTGAGTTAGTCATCTAATTTTTCCTTTTCCATAAGCTAAATTACTTGTTAAATAAATTGAACCATATTCTGTTTAAACAAAAATCAAGCTCTGCATTTTTGATTAGTTACCTCAATGGTTTTTCCTCATTTTGCTTTGCTATATTAGTTATAATACTTGTTCAGCTATTCATCTTGAACAAGTTAGCTATCTGATTTCTTACATTCATTAGCTCAAATCACTTGTTAAGTAAACTACAATCTGTCAATTTCTAATTAGGAAAAGGAAACATATAAATGTGTCAATTCCTTAAGGTTATACATTTGAATTGAGCCAATAATTCGTTTGAAAAGATTAATTACATTTGAATTTTAATTATAGCCTCCAAACCATAAAAAGATAATAAATTTCTTTGATCATAAAATATAGAAAGATAATAAATTTCAAGTTGTATGTTTTTTTTTGTCTTTTTGTTTTTGTTTTTGTTTTTTTTTATAATTCTAAATGCAATGTTATTCAATAAAATATTAATGGATATTGTGTTTTTGTTACAGATTGATGATGTTGGCATGGATACAGTGATGTTTTTAGGCTAGATTGGTGATGTTTGCATGGGCGCAATTTACATTATATTTTTGTTTATGGAAAACATGTACACCTGATATGTGTTGTTATTAAGATTTTTTTTTTAATTTTATTTTTAAATTTGGATTCTTATTTATGGATTCTTATTTTCTTTGATATGTACGGTTAATAGTTAAGTTTTGTATATGGTTGAAAATTGAATGCTACAGGTTGTGGAAAAATATTTTTATTGAATGGTTGAGAATTGAATGAATGGATGAATAATTTTGTATATGCATAGGTTATAGGTGGCGTAAAAAATATTACAGAAGAAATTATAAAAACTAAACGAGACCTTTTGGGGACTAAACAAATATCACAGGTTGACTTTTGGCTACTAAACTTTTAGTCGCCAATTGTAAAAAAGAAACTTTTGGTAACTAAATTTTTAGTCGCCAATTCTCAAAAAGTGAAACTTTTGGCTATCAAATAGTTAGTCGCCAAACATACATGATCAATTGGCTATTAAATAATTTAGTCATTAAAAGTAAAAAGTATATATATTTAATTATTTTTTAAAAATATATGACAACTAAAGTTTTAGTCGCCAATAGGTCACTTTTGGCTACCAAAAAAAGTTTAGTGGCCGATTGTTTCCCCGACAAACTGTTAGCGACCAAACGGGCAACCAAATATATTAGTTGCCAAAAGCAATTGGCGACTAAAAACAAGGCTTTTGGCGACTAAAATTTTAGTTGCCAAAAGTGAAATTTCATGTAGTAAAAATTTTCATATAAAATGATATAGTTTCAATATAAACTTTTTACTTTAAAATATAAAATTCATAAAATAATTTTATTTATAAACATAAAATTATCATATCATATTTATAGAGTTTTATGCATAAATTTTATCAAGTGCATATTTGCTCACTACAACAAATTAAACTTTTTGCGACTAAATTTGCCAACTAAAAACAATTTAGTCGCCAAAAGTTCCACAGTAGGTGACTAAAAAAAATGTTTGGTTGGCGTTAATTTAGGTTTTAAGCTACTAAATATTTTTAGTTGGGGTATATTACTTTTTACCGACTAAAACACATTTAGTCGCCAAAAGTTTCACAATAGGCGACAAAAAAAACTTTTGGTCGGCATTAGTTTAAAATTTAGGCTACTAAATATTTTTTTAGATGCGACATATTAATTTTTCCTGACTACATAATATTTTCGTCGCCAAATAATTAGCATAATTTGCAGGAGGTAAATTTAATCTTCGACAACCCAAAATTTGGTCACTATTGTCACAGATTGGGTGTTTGTCATCCTCCCAAGAAACCAGCTCCACGAGTGGTACTGCATACCCCGTGAATTAAGCCCAAGGACCAACCCAGAAGATGTGATTGGGATCTACCCTGCTTGTCTTGCTGCTCACAAACTGATACGCTTGCAAGGTGCTTAGTGTAGAACTCGCATCCCCAATGAGTCGGTATGTGACTTTTGGCGACTAGAATATAATTTGGTCGGTTTTAGTTCATATTTTGGCTACTAAAGAATTTTAGTCACCATATATTGGTGGTGTTTGGGAAGTGGTTTTTTTTTTTTTTTTTGCCAAAAAAAAGGAAAAAAAAAAAAAAAATTAAAAAAATTTTTTTTTTAAAAAAAAAAAAAAAAAAAAAAAAAAAAAAACAAATTCAGACAAAATGCCACATCAAATCCAAAATTATTTCACTTTTTCTCTCACAAATATCACATCTAACTACAAAAAAATCAACTATCTTCCTAAACACAAAAATTTTAACCTCCTAAAATAATCAAAAACTAAAAAAACCTACTAAAATAATAACTTCCCAAACACTTCCATTAACATTTTTCGAGTAAAACATTTTAGTTGATAAAAACAGTGACTAAATAGCCGGCAAATTGTGCAAATGTGTATAAAAAAATAGTGGAAAAATTGCCGCCAAAATTTTTGTTCCTTTTTTTTTTTCCCTATCAATCTCTTTAGTCCTTCACAACCAAGTTTTTTTTTTTTTTTTAATCTCTCTTGCTCTCTCTCTTTTACACAGAGAATCAAGAACCACCGTTGCTCACCATCGCAGATGACCACCGCCGCTTATCTTCCACCGTCGCACATAATCACATCGCCACTTCCGCTCACCATTGTCTTACCTCCCATCGACATTCAGGTTTTTATTTCTCTCTATCCCTCTCTCTCTTTCTCATTCTCTCTCCCCTTTTCCCCAATTCACTCTAGCTCTAGAGTTATTTTATTTTTTTATGCTGTAGGATTTTGATTTATGTGAAATGAGTAAATGGGTTTTGATTTGTGTTATTGATTTAGGGTTTTTTGAACTGATTATTGGTGTGGTAGATGAGATTTAGTGATTTAGCCCTAATTTCTAATCGATTCCTTTTACCAGTTGCACATGGGTCTCCCTCTTTCCTCTCTACCATGCACGCAAGAGTTCCTTGCCCCAACCAATCTCCGAAGCTCTCATCCACCAGGTGTTCCTCTTGCATGTCTCTCTCTCACTAGCCCCTAGTTTCTGAATCCTAACAGGTCTCTCTCTCTTTCTGCCCTCTCCCACCCCTAATTTGTGAACCCTAGCATTTTTTTTCCTGCACAATGTTGCTGTTGCTCTCAGCCACCACCGTTTCCACCATTAGCCACTAACACACTCACTCGCATTCCCCTTTTTCTCTTGCTCCCCAATTTGTGATTTTCAATATATTTTTTTTCTTTGATGAGCTTATTGTATTATAAAAAATAGTTATATTCTTTTATAGTAGAATTTGGTTCTCTCAATATTTTAGGTATTTTCTGTGATTGTTGTGGCTAGGTTTTGAAATCATGTTGAATAATATTTGGATTATGCTTTTCTTTTTTTCTTTTTTTTTTTTTGTTTATTTATTAACTTTTGTGATTGTTCTGGTGAGATTTTGAAAATACTAAAACACTCTATTAGGTTTTACTTTTTAGATTTTTTTTTTAATTTTTAAAAAAACTAGAAACTAGTTTGGAGAAAAAAGAAAAGGAAAAAAGAAAAAAGCACTCATCAATTTCATATCACTTTCTTTTTCTTGGGGTTGAAATAATATTTGAAAATTTGAAATTATCATTTTTCTTGTTAATTGCTTTCATACAGTTTATGTTTTTTCAGATAAAAATTCAGAAAACAGGTTTTTAAAATGAAACCAAATAGGGTGTAAGAGTTTTCGAAATGTTTTTTTCTTTGTCAAAAACAATATCATGTACCAAATTCAGTTGGGGAATTACATTCAATGACTAAAAAATAATTTTTGGCAACTAAAAATTTAGTCGCCAAATTTGCAATTTCTTGTAGTGGTTAAAGTTGACTTTATGGTGAAATTGATCTATTATTTGACTGACTTTGATTCACGTCGGTAATCTAATCTGTTCATCTTATGGAACTAACTAAGAAAATTATTCATGCAAAAAATAAATTGATCCAATATCAATTTGTCATACTATTAGACTATTTTTATTTATACAATCAACATGTTCTTAAGTTATTTGATCATGTGATTACTTATGTTAGATCAACTGAATTTTTTACATACATGTTCTTCACCGCTTATATATAATTTTGGAAACTAAGTTAAAAGCCAACTTATTGACTTTTTAGTTTTTTTAAGTCATATCATCACTTTACTTTTTTGCACATTTTTTCAAAAAAAATAAATAAATAAAGTCAAAAAAAGTTAAAATGTCAGCTTTTAACCTTTCTCACGTGTTGTAAGAATCACATGTAGACCAATGGCAGAGCCAGAAAAATTGTTTAGAGGGGGTACTTATTAATTACAACATCAAATTTTTTTCTTCTTATAATCAAATAGATTAAAAAAAAAAATTGATTAATATTAAACACAAAATCTTAAACATTTAACATAAGAGTTTTAATATATATATATTTTACAATTGATCATGTAAAATATCATAACTAAAAATATGATGTTACTTGTAACCAACTAATGTATTATAGGTAATACAAATGCCTTTATGTTTTATGATAGATTATATATAATAATATACAAAGAATAGTAATAGCAGATCATTATCGATATATAGTATAATAATGTGATTTTTTATGCTTTCTTTATTTTCAATCAAAACAATCACCATTATTTTTGAAATTTAAAAAATGACATTAAGAAATTATTTTAAATGTTATTTCTACATAAATTTTTTATTTGTTAATTATTTTCCTTATGTACAAAACAAACAAAGAAAAAAATTGCAAAATTAGGGGGGGGGGCATGTGCTCCCAGACTCTTCATATATCCGCCACTGCTTGATTTCTTCTTGGTCTTCCTTTGTGTCCATCTTCGTTCCTTGTAGATTTAAATTTTTGCGTGTGTTGTGAGTGCGGGTTTTTTTTTTTTTTTTTTTTTTTTTGTGGCCTTAATTAAAATGAAACTCTAGAAAAACTGCAAAGGTCATAGGATCCAAACGCTACTTGTTGCTTAAGCGGTTGCGAAGGCTCTTTCTTATCTGTTTGGTTTTGTGTTCTAACCGCCTCCTTTGAATGAATGAATTAAAAATCAGTGGTCGTAGTGGACTGATAGTTTGAATCCATTAATCAAAATAAGCTAGTTTTTCCAGTTAAAATTGTTTTAGTCCTATCCAAACCATCTTGGTATCACCTCGGCCAGAGACTTTTTGATCTATTAGATTGGGTGGAGTTTTCTTGACACACTATACTTTGATGTTGATATTAAAATATAGATTACAATTCAAAATGATGACACTATTATAAATTTTTTAAATTGGGTGAACTTTTCTTGACACGCCACATTTTGCTAATGAAAGTTGAAGTGAGACAAATAGTATAGATTAAAAATGAATGTGTTGGCTTTTTTGGCTTTCGAAGGTTAATTATATAATTTTAAGCGTGTCAGTAAGGATCAATAAGTCCTTATAGAATTTATAATTGCCAACCAATTAACAAGCGATTGTGTTGAAGTTTTTTCAGCCTCAATGAAGAGGACTTTTACTGGTGGCTTGTTTAAGGGAAAGTTGTGAATAATAACAAGTAAATACAATTCAGAAAACGAATTTCATTAAGCAAATAAAAACTTACAATGAAGTTATAATGACCCAGCCTCGACGAGGTTCACAGCAACAAACTACTGAAAAAACTAATCCTAGAAAATGAAGTGCGGTACTGGAATTGAAGTGCTGGAAATGCAAAGAACTGAATACATAAAATTGGAAAAGAAATATAAAGTAGATAAACTAGTTTCTGGATCTGAGTCTGGGTCTTTCAATTTGGGGTCTTTTCTGGTATTTATACTTGTTAAGGGTAACCGTCGAAGTGGGTTTCCAACTGTTGAAATGTCCTCCCATGATTCTTGATCATGCTCTCTTGCAGTCAGTCCTACTACGCCATTCTTACAGTTAGGCTTTCCTCCTGATTTTGAATTCAAATTTATGAGTAACCGTTAAGCCACGTCATCTCTCGTCTTCTTGTTGTTTCCCTGCAACGCAGACCCACCATTATCCATATGAGCTGCCACGTGCCTGTTGCTGATTGGAGACTTAAATTAACCCCAAAATTGCCCTTTACGTGCCACGTGCTGAGCTGCAATTGGCCTATACAAAATATATAGCCAACACTACCTCCTGCACTAATATACTTAATACTTGGTGATATTAGTGGACCAGTGCACTTTGTCCACGTCCTAGGACGTGCATGGACTTAGCTGAAGTATAACTGTCTTCTTAGAAAATGAAGAACTTCATTAAATCCTTCTCCATGCTTTGACCATTCCCTATACTATTTGCGAATACGATGAGACCAATACATCTCTAATGGCCAATCCAACCTTCTCTTACATTGATCGAGCATACGAGGCGGCATTTGTCAATGATGACCGCCTTCGAAAGAATGTTCATGCATTTATTGGCCACATTTATCCGCCCCCATTCATACAAGTTATGGAAGCTTTTGCACCATACGAACCTCTGGACCAAACATTTTCACAAATGGACCTTGGAAGCTATTCATCTGCTCCAAAACTCTCTACCTGAGACGAAGTTGCTTCATCTTCTAAAAATATTGGCTGGGATGGGATGCTTGGCCCATACCCACTCAACCTCAAACAAGGGGAACGCATACACCATTGATTTCCCAAATTTGATGATCCCACTGCAATTCATCCCTCCATGCGTAGTTCTGTAGTATATCCATACGTTCCCTTTAATCGTCTTTGCAGTCTTGAAGACAACTTGCTTTCAGCATGGTATACTTCCACCTTACTGTCCAAAATAGTGCGAAGGACTCCATTCCCTTTTGAAGCCTTAGGCATCAGTCTTGCATTCTTAGCCACCAAAAAAGCAAAACTTTGCTCCTCTGATTGGCTAGAATGTGTGAACAGGCCTGAGTTCCCACCTTCATTTGGAGGGGACCCAACTTCTTTTTCCCTGCCCATCAATTCTAACTGGATTGAAGAACTGAAGCTCACCCTTTTCAAGAACCAACATTTTGCTTCTTACCAATCTTTAGTTCCTCCTCGTTACCAATAATATAGAGCCCAAACTCTGCTTGCTGATTTCTCCCATTCATCCTTTGAGGTCCTTTGAAACGACATTCCTTACAAGAACTTATTATGGTCCTGTGATATTGTCTCTCGAAGCCACATCCTCAATCCTGTGAACCCAAGCAAAGCTTTATACCTTCTTGGATCAACTTCATCTTCTACTCAACTGGCACCCAAATGCTTCTATTACCAGTGAGTTAATAGAGAATACCTCCGCTGCTCATTCAAATTCAGTATTGAGCAAAGAATCTTATTGAGGAATATGAAAACTTTAAGAACCAAGATTCAGGGTACGGGGAAGATGTCATTATGGGTGATGCACCTAGCGAAGGAGAAATGGATGAAATGGAAAAGACTCTTAGACAAACAGAATTCGAAATGAAGGCCCAGCAAGTCTTCTTCCACCTAAGGGCTCATCAGCTAGATAAACCAAATTTAGATAGGATAGAAGATAGGTTAGGAAAAGAGTATGTATTTATTGAATTTTGCTGGACAAAGTTCCATGATCTTGTGACTTTATCCATTTCCTACTTTTGTGAAATTGAGAATGTAACCAAGTAGGTGTTCCTAATGTAAATATTGCATATCAATAAAACTGAGCTCTTCAAATATCATCTGTCATAATCTGGTTTTATATTCCAATTGCATGATCGATTGCATGGCAATTATGGCTTTATGCCTTACTCTGTCTATGTAATCTGTGAATAATAGCTTTGAAGCAACCAACTTGCTTTGATGCCTAGCTTTAAGTGCTTCAAAGCATAGATTTTCTCATAGGAGCATCCATATTTGACTTAGGGTTTTCAAGCTCTAATCATCTAATTAACCTATCATATATAAATCACAGTTTCTAATTGACTTGCTTCGAAGTGCTTACTTATTTCAGAATTCACAACTCTAAACAAGATAAGCATTTTAGAGACTCTTTCGAGGACATTACCTTGCAAAGATAATCTAGGAGTATGCTTATAAAGCCTTCAAAGAAAACAAACCTTAAATATAATTTTGTTTAAGCCATAAAATGGCTTCGAAGCCAACCACAAGGTTTCGAAGCCAAGCTAAGTCTTTGAAATAAATTTTCCTACCAAACTTACTCTTGAAAGAGACTGTGGCTTGGGACCCCTTGTGTTCTAAAGATAAAGTTTTAATTCCATATGAGTCAAAAGCCCGTCAAATAATTTATTTTGGGTTTACTTGACCCGTTAGGCTAATTGGGTACTTTGGACAGAAAAGTTTAAAACCCCTTCTTCTCGCATTTTTAACCTACTCACTTGTCCAAAAAACAAACCCTTTCACTTATATTGCTTTCACTCCTATTGCTCTTGACTGCAACTCTTTGCTCTTTTGTGCACTTTCTTTGTCATCCTCCCTAAAAGTGCTAGTCGTTGAGGGTGTGAGCCCATCTGTGGCTTTAAAGAGGTGTATTGACGAAGAGATAGCCAAGTTCAGAGCTGGTGAACCGAGTGCCATAGATGGTCGCCTCTTTATTCCTCGTCATAGTGAACAACAGGAATACGTCTTGGGACCTATCTTCAGGAAGAAGCCTTAGCTCAACTTCTTGCTTTATACCCCCGTCTAAAGGATCACTACCTCTTCTATGAAGGGGGGCTTGATTGGGGAAGTTGGAGGATGAACCGACCCCACTGTTGCTGGCCCACAATGAGGGTTGAATGGGAGGAATGGTATGACAGGGTTGTGTCTGCTAGAGGATGGGACTTGCAAGAGCTCTGTAACCTTGATGTGCTACGTCTCTCCAGGTTTATTATTCCTAAAGATCTTTTCTTAATTCCTACAGCCCTTTGTTCTTGGAAATCGGCTTTCAATTTTTTCCAGTTTCGGTGTGGTATGATGGCCTCCACTGTTCTCGATATTTACCATCTCTTAGGGCTCTCACCACTTGGTGCTCCCTTTACACCTGGTTATCCAGACCTTCCAGTCAATTTCACCATTCCATCCTTAAACTCTTCTTTCAACGATTTTGTAAAATTTGAGAACAAGAAGGTAGGTTCTGTAGGTGACCGAGAGTTCTTTTCTTTCATTCTATATTAGTTATGCAAGTTTCTCTTCTGTATATTATCTCAACAGATTATGCCTAAGTTTGCCCCACTTGCCAAGGCTCTTGCTTCGAAGAAGATGATAGCCTTGGCTCCTTATGTTTTAGGCTATGTTTATAGGGCCTGTTTCTAATTTTGTGAGAAATCTCTGTATGTTAACCAAAGAGGCCCCCTCTGGGTATTATAGCTCTAGCTCTTTGCATACTTCACTGGTCTACACTCCTAGTGCTGGAAATTTTTGGTGCAAGAACCCACCACTTACAAAGAGAAATTTGCCAGGATTTCCCTATACCCCTCCAGCTTTGCCTATTATTTGAGTTTCTTCCATCAACTTCCAATTCTCCACTTCTTTGGCCCTGTTTGGTAGAGCTGTGGGAAAGTGCTTATAGCTTATGCCTTAATAGCTTATAGCTTATAACTATGAACATAAGCTGATTTCTGACTTATAAATTAAGCATCTCATGCCCCACTCAAAGAATAAGCTGATTTCTGACTTACAAAAAGCTATAAGCTGCATTGTTAAGCTAAACCAAACACATCAAAATAGCTTAAATTAAGCTGAAAGCTGAAATAAGCAGCTTTTAAGCTGCACCAAACAAGCACTTTCTTTTGTCCCTTCGAAAGCAACACAGGACCAACTTAACTAAGGACATTTTTGGCTGATAGGTAATGTTCCAATTCGCTGCACAAAGACGTATGGGCCTCTATTTTGTTGCCAAGGGAGCTCTTTATTGGTATTTTGAATTCTAGAGTCTATAAGTGTATGTTTGAAGTTTACTGTCCTTCCCAATTTGCCAGGCAATTCGAGCTTACTCAAGAAATTCATATTCCTCTCTGTAGCCTCTCCAATACCAATCTCACAGTCAGAGACCTGAAGGTGCCTAAAACCAAATTGGAGGAAGCAACATTTAAACTATTACAAGAGGCGAGCAAGTTTGAATTCATCCCCTTTATCCCACATGGCACAGCTTTAATAAGATTTCAAAGTTGGTGGACAGCCAATATGGAGGTGCACCTGGCAATACCTCCTAAAGATCTGCTAGTAGGGCTAAATGTGCCCTCTCAAGCCAAGCCCAAAGAGATTGGGACCACTGTTACTGTCTCCACTACCTCTATCATCCCAGCTCCTACTCATGCTGCTTCATCACCTCCTCTTAGGATCACTAGGGTTGCTTCGAAGAAAGGTATGCATTCTTGCTTCCCCTTTCTATTTCTTTTATAATGCCTTGGTCATTTGTTTATAATTTCTATTTTTATCGCAGGAGTTCCACAGGATGACTCTCCGTAGAGAGCTCAAGCTTTGAACATTCTTAAGGGCAAGCAACAACAACAAAAGAAAAGAAAACTTCTGCTTGACCTTGAAGAACTTGAGGCTCACCTGGAAGAGAAAGAAGCAGAGAAGGAAAAAGAGACACCATTGAAAAGAAAGAAGAAAATGACAATCTCTCTTTCTGATCTCATTGGTGATCTTACTCATAAGGTGGCTGCCATGGCAGTGGAAGAAGAGCACTCCAAAGAAATTATTGTATTTCAGAGGTTTGAAAAGAGAAGGCAGTAGCAAATACTAAGGGATGAGGTTGCTGTTGTTGATGCACTACAAAGGGAGGCTGCAAGGAAGAAACAACTTGTTGAGCATTGCTCCCTTCGCAGTTCTCCAACCAACACCACTACAACCTCTGAAGCTAGTAATTTCTTTTAATTCCCTTTGATAATTTTCCTTTCCAGGGTTTAACAAAAAGGTAACATTTTCTCTCTATTTTCTGATATGCAGCAGCAGTCATTCCTTCTTCGACATTGGCTTCCTCAGCCTCAAAAGGAACAAGGAAGGCTTATACTGAAACGCCAATGAGTATGCCCATTTAGATGATGCTTCTACTTCCCAGCTCTATATTCCCCATGCCTTCCTCTTTGAAGCACAACATCCCTCCTTCTTTATGCCTAGGCTTAATTTCATATTTGTCCCATCTATTTTTCATCTCATCCCATTCTACCCCTCCTGTAGTCTTGGCTGCCCCTTTACCACCTGAGAGAATTCCAGTTGCCATTTCATCTTTAGTGGTGATCAGTACTAGCAAGGAAGGCACTGGTGGCTCACTAATTCCTTTCCCACAGTCCAGCTCTAGTCCCTCTTCTCTTGACCTACTGGCGGCCAGGACAATAGACACTACTAGGGACAACTCCACTTCTTCTCCTATCCTCAAGTTTCCATCTTTTCCTTCAATCAGCGACTCTTCTATATTACCAATGTCAGAGGATGAGATGGACATCATCGAGGCTCAACTGGCCAGCTTATTTGGCATATCTTCACGAGTTTGAGCACCAAGCAGTGAGATTGAGTCATTGGTCCTTGCAGACTCTCTTTTGGAAATTATTGAGAGCTCCTCAACTACTACTGAAGCTTTTTTGCCTCGGGTGGATTTGGACGCTTGCTTAGACTTACTGCAATCATTCTCAAGGATTCCATTTGAAGCCTTACAAAAGCCTATTATTAAAAATGGTTTCCTTTAGTGCTGCAAAGTATTCGAGCAATCCAACATGGCCTTTTCAAGTCACTTATCCCAAGCAGCATCCACCTTAGATTGTCATGTCAATATCTACTAGATGGCCAAAGCTACAGAAGAGAAATTGCTAAAAGGTAAGGAGTTTGTCTCCCATATACATGCTAAAGTGTTTGAATTAAAGGGACAACATTTCTATGCCTCCTAGTTTCGAATCCAACTCTTAGAGAAGAAAGCCCAACTGGAAGAGGAGCTAGCCGCAGTCAATCTAGCCTTGGATCGAAATGCCAAAAAGCTCCAAATTACTAACCAAGGACTGGTTGACAGAAGGCAGGACATGATTATAGTCATTCAATTGTTCCTATCCCTTAGGAGTAGAGAATCAATTGTAAGGGAACAACTAAAACACTGTAATGATTTTTGGGCTAATTTATGGCTACATGTACTTAAATCTTTGTGAAATGAAATCCTCATTATTTATCCAAGTGTTCCATGCTCTTTTACTATTCTTACTTAGCATTTCTTACAGTTCTTGTGTTTCCCACACAGTTGAATAATAAGGCTTCAAATACTTGCCATTGATTTTCTTGGGATGTACATAGCCATTAAGATTTCTCAGATGGTATGCTTTTCCAGGCAAAACTCTATGAACTTGATATGATACTTTCCAGTTAGGTGACCATTTGCCAAATTTATAGCTTTTACTTCTTATCGGAAGTATTGTTTTTCACACCAAATCACCTTCATCAAAGCTAATGTGCTTCTTATTATAGCTTTTGGCTGCCTTCTTCTTTTGGAAAAGAATACTATTTAATGCCAATATTCTAGCTTCATCTGTATTTTCTACTTCCAAGAACATGTTAATTGGTCTTGGGACTTCACCCTTAAGGACTTAATGTTAATCTCCACAGTCAACACTGTATCATGTCCATATATTAAAGCATAAGGAGTAATCTTTGTACTTGACATTGGAGAAATTCTATAAGCCCACAACACATCTAACAATAAGTTATGCCAATCCCTGGGATTGTCTTCCACAACTCTTTGTATTCCTTTTTACAAGGACTTGTTAGATGATTTAGCTTGACCATTTGCTTATGCATAATAAGGGGTAGAATTAATAAGACTAATCCTAAATTTTACTGCGAAAGATTTCACCATCTTTCCATCAAACACAGTCCTATTATCTACAGTTATGGTCTGTGGGATGCCAAATCTATGGATTAATTCTTTGATGAATCCAATAATTTCAATTAGATCTATAACTTTGTATGGTTTAGCTTCGACCCACTTAGTGAAGTAATCTGTGGCCACTAGAATGAAGCAACGCTGCTTCAAAGGGGGTGAATATATTTTCCCTATCATAGCCATTGCCCATCCTCTAAATGGCCATGGCTTTACCACTACATGTAAATCAGTTATTGGCACGTGTCTTATCCTGCTAAGCTGATGGGCACCACAAATACCTTCATGCACCTCAGCCATAGCAGTCAATGCTTCTTTTGACCCTAAATATTCCAACAACAATCCATCTGCTCTCCTTTTGTAAACAGCATTGTCGTATACTATATATTGCATGGACTATAATTTAATTTTCCTACTGGTCTTCGAAGAACGGCCAGTTAAATATTGAATGATTGGATGTCTCTAATCATGTTCTTCCAAGTTATTCTGGTTCACTTCTACCATGATACCCCTTTTAATCAAAGGTAGTATTAACTTTTGATATGTTGCTTAACTTATGTTCACTTGGGTATCCTCATATCTTCTGAAATTCGAAGCCTTTTGAGCTACATCATTGGCCTTGTGATTCATGAATCTTGGGATATAAGTCACATTGGCTATCTAAAACTAAGAAAGCAAATGCAATGCAGCAACATAATATGGCAACATGTTGCACTTTGACATTTGAAGATTCTTTTTACTTGGTTGATTACCAATTGGGAATTCTTAAATATATCAACTGCTTGAGTTTGTAATCCAATAAGTATCTCAAGTTCCATTATTAAAGCTTCATATTCAGCTTAGTTATTGGAACAAGTGGTTTCATCAACTCTGAAACCATGTGTAGTTTCTACCCTGTATGATGACTTAATTATAACACAATTCCAACCAGACCATTGGCTTTTGATCCATCAAACCACATTTGCCATGGCTCAATATTGATCATACCAAGATCTATTATCTCTTGACTTTCTGTTTGACATGGGTGATCTGCCAAAAAGTTAGGCAAAACCTGTCTTTTACTGCTTTTTGGGAGACATATTCTAGATGAATCTCTGAAAGAGCTAATATCCATTTGCAAATTCTTTCTTTTAACATAGGTCTAAATAACATGTATTTAACCAAATCTGTGGTTGTAATTACCAAGATAACAGTAGACAAAAGATAATATCTTAATTTTATTATTGCAAAGTACAAAGCAAGACACAGCTTTTCTACAGCTGATTATTTACATTCACAAGAATTTAAAAACCTACTAAGGTAATAAACTGCTTACTCCTTGCATTCTTCATTGTCTTGAGCTAGGAAAACTCCCAATGAGTCCTCTGTTGCAGCAATGAATAACCTCAAGGGTTTATCTCTCCTTGGTGGCATCAACACTGGAGATTTGGCCAAGTAAGCTTTAATTCCTTTGAAAGCAGCTTGATGCTCTACTGTTCACACACTCTTCGTCATTTTTCAGTTTTAACAAAGAAGAAAATACTTTAGTTTTCCCTGCAGTGTTAGAAATAAATCTTCGAAAGAAATTAACCTGACCAAGGAATTTTTGTAATTCTTTCTAACTTGTTGAAGGTTTGGCCTCAATGGTGGCTTTGGCTTTGGCTTTAGCTTTATTCTGATCAATCTGTATTCCCTTCTTGTACACTATATACCTCAAGAAGTTTTCAGCTGATACATCAAAAACACATTTGAGAGGGTTGAGTTTCAAGTTGAACTTCCTTATGCTTTCGAAGGTTGCTGTCAAGTGAACCAAGTGCTCCTCTATAAACTGGGACTTTACAACAATATCATCAATGTAACACTCTAGGTATTCTCTAATGAGATCATGAAAGATAATATTCATTGCCCTCTAATATATTGTCCCAGCATTCTTTAAACCAAATGGCATTTTAACCCATTCGAATGTGCCAATATTCCTAGGACACCTAAATGTTGTCTTGTGGACATTTTCCTCTGCAATGCAAATCTGGTTGTAACTAGAATGCCCATTCATCATAGACAAAATCCTGTGCCTTGCTGAACTGTCCACTAAGAGATCAACTATAGGCATGGGGTATTCATCTTTTGGAGTCGTCAAATTCAGATTTCTAAAATCAATGCATACTCTCAGCTTGTCATTATTTTTAACCACAAGCACAATATTGGACAACCATTCAAGATACCTGGCTGTTCTAATGAAGCCTTCCTTGAGGAGTGAGAATTTCCTTTCACTTTCTGAACCACTTCAGGGCTCATCCGTCTTGGTTTTTGCTTGTGTGGCTTGAAGTTAGGCTTCATAGGGAGTTTATGTTCTACTAATGACATGTCCAATCCAAGCAGCTCATTATAAGACCATGCAAAGCAATCCTTATATTATTTCAAGACAACCAATAACTGGTCCTTGTCATTATGATTTAACCAAGCACTGATATAGGTAGGTTGTTGTGCTGAACCTTCATCTAGGTTAACTTCTTCCAATGGGTCTTGCACTTGGGTATTCACTGATGTTTCCCCCTTACATTCCCCTGTCTTCGAAGTAACCTTTTTGTCTAATTCTGCCTTTATCCTTCCAGGTTCCACATCTTTGCTCTCTTCTTCGTAGACAAAATTTGTCCACAAGGCTTCTTCTTTTTGTATCTCCTAGACTTTAGTTTCAATATCCAATGCACAATACTTACTAAGAGCAAAAAATCTGGCCTTTTGTTGCTCCTGATTAAAGCCAATCACCTTGGCTTCTCTCTTTTGCTCCTGCACCTTCTGGACTATTGATTTTACGTCCAATACTGAAAACTTGATTAAAGCCAAGGGTCTGGCTTCTTGGTCTTGATCTTCTTACCTACAACCAGGCATCATTGTCATCTTCGGTGATGAACTCTTCATTAGCACTCCCCTGCACTAAGTGCTTCAGGTGTGCTACTTCTTCATCAGCCGTCACTTCAGCTGTTCCATCAGGCTTTCTCAGCACACTGAGTGGTGTCACTCCTTTAGTGTATAACTTGGCCTCTGCAAAGTCAGCATAAGTAATAAAGGATTGGGGGTCTACGTTGATCTTCTCTGTCTCTCCATTGCATAATGCTATCATCATTTTCTGATGCAGAGAGGAAGGCACACATTTGTTGGTGTGAATCCAATCCTTGCCATGCAAAGCATTATACTTGGCATTACTGTCTATAACAAAGAATGTTGTTATGCAATCTCTAGTTTCCATACTCAGGTTGATAGGCAAAATGCCCTGAGCCATTTGTTTGTTCTTAGCAAAACTAGCAATGGTTGTACTGGTTGGGATCAACTTGGGGTTTCTTTTTCCCAGCTTCTTCAAAGAAGACTTTGGAAGCAGGTTCACTGCTTGCACCATTGTCCACTAACACCTTGTTTATTTGTATCCCATCGAAGTAAGCCTTGATATACAAGAGCTTAACGTGTTGAGTCATAGATATTGTGGGGTACTCGAAGGGATATGAGAGGTTAATGCTCACCTCCTTACTTTCTTCATCAGTTTTTATTGGGTTGGCTACTTCTGACTCATCTTGAATCATGCTAACCAATGAATCTTTACTAGAAACTGGAATGGGGTCATCTTCCTGACTTTCTTGGTTTCCTTCTTCAACTTGAAATTCCCGTGGCAGCACATATACCATGTTTACTGGTACTGAAGGGAATGAACCAAATTGAACTACTGGCTGTACTTGTTTCCCTTCCAAATTAACTTGTTATACTGCTTTAGAAGCATCTTCCATGCTACATTTTGGTACCTCTGTGCTAGCAGGTTCCTTCGAAGCAGTCTGTTGGTGATCTATCTCTGTTGGCTTGTCAACCAGAAAGGTCTGTTCGGCCATGAAGGCCTCAAACATTTTGTCTTTAGCCAATGTTTTCTCTTGGCCTAGTTCAGTCCCTTCGTTTGTTTCATCATCACATTCCATTAAGGCCTTCTCAAGGCCTGCTAAACTAGATTTCTCTTTGATTCTCAGTTTAGCATGAACTTTAGCCAATTGCTCTATGCTGGTACTCCTCTTGATCTTAGGAACAGCTTCGAACCTACCCCCTCATCTGTTTGGTCTTTTGCTTATGCCATGCAAGTGCTCTCTACACTTTCTTTTAGATCGTTTTGATACTGAGTGTATCTTCTTTGGATTTTCCTTCTTTGAGACCTGGAAATCATAGAAACCACATCTGGCTCCCTTGTTTTTGGGTTCTTTAATAACACCCAATTGTTTGGAGCCACCAAGGGAGGTTTGATCATTCTTCCTTGATCTCCAAAAACCTGTCTTTGGATAGGTATTTCCTTAGGTTTGTTTTGCATGACAAACCAATTTGGAACTATTGGGACCCATGAGCCCACTGGTCTGGCTGTTGGATCTGTTGTCCCACTCTTTGAAGCAGTCTTCGAAGCAGTCCTTGGGGGCCAACTATCAGTCCTAGTCCCATGCCTTGCATTGAATCCATGATTCCTTTCAGGCTGGTTGTTTACCCTGTAATAATTGGGTGGCCTAGTTTCATACAGAGACTTCTTTCTTTTTAATTGCATCCTGGTGTCTGGTGGGGCTACCAAAGATGAATGTTGTCTAGGGCCAGTTGGGTATGGACTCTTGTTGTAGGTTCCGACTATTCGGTCCCTTTGCACCTCTTTGTAATACTGCTTCTCATCCACTAGAAGCCCTTTCAGTCCCTTGTAACACATTCTGCACCTGGGACGCATCGTCTGCATCATAGTAACTTCGAGGGAGTCGTCATCCAACATCCCTTCACTAGAACCTTCTCTTTGGCCTGTAGAGCTTTGTCCAT